ATTTTTCAGTCTCTGTGCAGAGACTACAGCGAATCCAGATGGCTGCTGCAAAACGAAAGGCAACTGCCATGTCCCAGATTGACACCAATGAACTGTTGTACACATTGGTCAATGAGGTGACGGTTTATACTGATATAGAAATTGCCCTCGAGTCCTTCCCATCGCTTAGCGGTTTGTTAGAGCTAGATGAAATGTCTGTAGATGAATCTTATCATGCCTTGAAGGCCGGTGCTTTGTCTGATATGGTTGTCCTTAGACCTGACCTAGAGCTGAACTTGTCATTCAGCTTGAATAAGACAGTCATTGAGGACATTAATGTTGCACTCAGTGCTCGCAGTGGATCTGATTTTTTGAAGAATCCTTCGGATCCCTTCTACTCCTTAATAAGAGAATTTTAGAGTGGTGTGTAATGATCCACCATCTACACTTCCTCCCGACATTGTTGTGCGTCATGAGATTGACCTGGTCCCTGGGACCAATATTGTGTAAAAGGCAATGACTGTCGCGCAAGGAACCGTGTGACGTCATTGACGATTTTTTTTGTGCAAAGCACGCAGCATGCATGGTACGGGCGAGCAAATCCCCGCATTCGACACTGCCATTTTGTGTCAGAAAGCCTAATGGTAAGTGGCGTATTGTGCATGCTTACAATTAGCTAACGCCGCCACAATCCCGGCACAGACACCTGTACATGGAAAGGGTGTTATTTAGAAAGCTATGATGGGTTGTACCACGTTCAGTACACTCGACTGGGTCGATGAGCATTACCAATTGCTCATTCGAGCGAGTAATTTTTGCTTAAAGCGATTAGTACGCCGAATGGCATGATTTGGGAGCGGCTTGTTTTTTTCAAAGGGCCATGGAACTCCCCTGCAACGTTTAATCGTGTCGTGACGTAGTTGTTCCGACCTCACCGACATTTTTGTTTATTGCCGTCCGGAACAAGGAAGGTCAGATGTGGAGAATCACTAAGACCATTTACAAGCAGTGCTCGGGTGCATGTGCACCATAATTTGTATGCAAATGCATAAAAGTGCATTTATGGTGCTGAAGAAATCCCCTTCTTAGGGGGCTTCATCGTAAAGCTAGGTCTGCGAGCGGATCTTGCTAAAACAAAAATCCGTTGTGGATTGTTTGGTTCCGTTAAACCAAATGGACTTGCAAAAATGGCCCATTTGGCCAATTACTTGCATAAGTACAGTTTAAATTACGCTGATATGGCAAGGCCATTAGCAATTTTCTTGTAGAGGATGCAGTTCGTTGTTGAGGCGGAGTACAGGCTCAATCTTATCAAGTATAACCGCCTTCATGCCCCGGTTTTGGCGTTGCCTGACCTGGAGCGACCTTTCAGTGTCGTCTGTGAAGCGTCCGATTTTGCAAGTGGCAGTGCATTATTGCAGACGTATGTCAACGGACATGAATGCACCACCGCGTACGAGTCGCGCCAGATGAAAGCTGCAAAAAAGAACGATCCGGTTCATGACAAAAAGCTACTGGCAATGAAGTGCGCTCTTGTGAAATTCAGAGTGTATATGCTTGGCTCAAAGCGGTTTTTGTTCGATACAGATAATGCGTCGTTACGCACTGCGACCCAGTCGCCTTAGCTCTCACAACGAACGACCCGTTGGCTTTACATCTATGCAGAAGGTGACTTCGAGGTCAAGTACAATCCAGAGAAGCAAAATGCTTTGGCTGATGCGTTGTCACGCCGGACCAATTAAGAGCTTTCTCGTGTTCCGACTCTGTTGTCGTTTATTCCTGATTAAATCTGTGCGGCTCATGCCAAGGATGAGCAGTGTGCTGAGTTATAGCGCGCACTAGGCTGTGATGAGTTCAAAGACCCGGACATTAAGTTGTCGGCACGATTGCGTGCGGGGCTACATCGTTATTCTCTTGACAGTGGCCTACTGTGCTATAGCACGGATGCGGCGGATACTTCGCGCATCTTTTTTACTCATGATGCGAAACGGAAGCATCGAATCTTCTATGAGGCGCATAATACAAATCTGAGCGGTTATCTCAGTCGAGAAAAGACCAATAGCTTGGATAGCCAAAAGTAGTGGTGGCCCAAATTGCACAAATGGGTGAGCACAAATGTGCGTTCGCGTGAAAAGTGTCAACGCGTTAAACATTCAGCTCATGCGGCTGCGCCTTTGTCGAGTTTACCTGTTCCCACTAGGTGTTGGAAGTCCATCAGTATGGACTTTGAGTTAGGCCTACCGAAAGATTCGGATGGCAACACTAGCATTGAGGTCTTCGTTGACCGTTTGAGCAAGGTGGCTTATTTAGCGGCTTTGCCGGACTCGATCAATGTTGAGCGTACAGCACAGCTGATTATTGATCGAACTTCACGTCAACATGGTTTGCCTGTGAAAATTGTTTTTTTGACCGTGGTCCTCGGATTGCCAGGAATTTTTGGAAGTTCATATTCAAGTTGTTGGCCACCAGGTTAAACACGTCCACAGCGGATCATTCGCAGACCGATGGGAAGACTGAGCCTGTTTATTGCGCTATTGATGATACTTTACGCAGCGTATGCGCTGATACATCTCGGCATTGGAACTTCATGCTTCCGGTAATCAAAGTTGCGATGAATAACTCGGTGCATGTCTCGACTAATTATACGCCGTTCTATGTAAACGTTCTAATACCCCACCGCGTTCCCTTAACGATACTAATTCGTGAGCCAGGGCTTGGCGGGAGAGAGATTGCCGATCGGCTTGCTGATATCAGCCCTGCTACTGTCCAGAAACAGGTTGGCGAGTTCCTTGCAACCCGCTTGAATGTCTTACGACATGGGCGGGACGCAATGGCTGAAAGCCAATATAAACAAGATGAACAAGGAGACGGAAAAGGAAGAGGTCGCATTGAGAGTTATGTAAGTCTGTGACCAAGTTTTACTTAACGCCGAAAACCTACATACGGATGTAGTGTCTGCTGTATTTAAGACGAAGTTGCGTCCTCGCTTCATCAGAACTTTTACTGTCGTGGCCAAGAAGGGTCTTGCGTATACGCTCAGCTCACCGCGCGAATTGCGTACTCACCCGTCTTGTATGTCGGCATGCTATAGCCGTACCGGGGTCCCTTCCTTGTTGACTCGAAGGCGCTGGCGCCACGTACATAAGCGTTGCCACAGGTAGTTGCATCCGAATCAGGAGATCAAGCTGTGCTTCAACACGAGTCACACGTTTATACATCTTCTGAAGACGGGCGTGATCACGTTAAAGTGTCGCCAGACGATATTGCGCTTCGTTCAGAGTGTGCTGGGTTTTGCCCAAGGTCTCACTCAGGCTGTTCACATCTTTTAGCAGATTCGAGTGGCTCTCAGCCGATACGCACCGACCTCCACCGGCGTTGCTTGATAGGCATGGGAACCTCCAGTTCCATGTAAAAAGGTTACGTCAACGACTTCGCTATCATTTTTACCACTAATACCTGGCAAAGTGGAGTGGGTATCCCAGCCTAATAACTCTAGGAGAATGAGATACCTCTTTTACAAGACTGCCCATACACCGTGGAAATTGTTAAAAGCCACGATTAGGCTCATCTTGACGAGCACCACGCTTCTCACTAGTCAGAGTGAGAGCGAGCGGGTTAGTGTAAAAATAATGACGTGAACTCGCGGATGCAGGAGCAGCCGAAGCATAGCGAGAATGAGAAATTCCCCTCAGTCGTCCCGTGGTCTTTTAATTCGCTAAGTAGTAGCGAAGTTTTCTCTTAAGACGAACGTCTGACACACTGGCACTTGCTCTCAGAGCTATTATACTACTGAGGTTTCGAGCGCAATGTACTCAGAGTATGAACGCATTATTGTCTGAGACATCGTCCTCACCCTCAGCCATTAAGACGGGTTTACCCTTCATTGGTGGAACCGGTGTGCCTATGGCCTACTTCAGGAGTCTTTTTTTATGCTCACTAAAGGTCACCACAATAGGTTCCTAATACACTATCCTGAAGATGCTTGCGGCATTCGATTTAATTAGGATCTTTCGCCTCGAGGCTAGTGCCCACCCTGCCAAAGTATGGCCAGCTGATTGACGGATGCGTTCTTCTACGTCAGGCGGAGTAAATGTGTACCTACGGTGTTGTGGTGAAGCGAGTATTCAAAATGATGGATTTAAGGGTCGATGAGCCGGAAGGACACGGGACCATGCGGCTGGAAAAGGAACTGGAGACTTGGGGGTTATGGGTAAGAAGCGGCCTTTGGGTTTAATCGTGACGAGCGATTAAGTTTACTGCCAACAGGATCAAACTGTAACGGGGCTAGAACAACCCGTACTTAGCTTACACTATTTCTAACGCTTTGAGGAAGCCTGAAATCCCAAGTCTTAGGTGTTTAGAATTCTTAACTCTGTTTTTATTCTGGTTTTTATTCATCCTGAGTACGATTGGTTCCCTTGGACTCATGGGAACCACTCAATCTAAGTGCCTATACCTTACTGGCTAATAATGGGACTGAGCCCATAAAACCAGCTAAAGTATATAGGACGTGCTACTTTCCCTACCTCGAAAGTAGCACCCCTACTTAAGTAACATGTAAGCTTAATCGAAACTACTTATGTAACGGGGTGGTCCATTACATCACCCCCTTCTTAGGAAAGCGCTCACGAACCGTGAGTGCTCAACCATAAGACCCAACGGACGCACAAGCCAAACGATGACTGAAGACGCAAACGCCAACACCACAGCGCTCCCGCGCATTGCAGCGGGAGTTCGATCGACCACGTGATGTATCAGCACCTGATCCCTTGGTTGCTATACGACTTGTCCGGAGCTCGATCTGCGGACTCTCTTGAAACGACGCAGGATTACTTCCGGCGTTTCCGTGGATTACGCGGGAAGAACCTTGATAGCATCTCGTACAAGTCGCTCCAGCCTTCTTGGTGCGCGTTCATCCTGCGGTCGAACCGGATGCTTATAGACGGAAGGAACTTTCAGCAGTGGCTTGTTAATCGCGACGATATCACGCCGATCACTCAATCGGTGTGCTGCGTGAGAAGTTATGCGAGAACGCGTGGAACGTAGACCGACTCTGCTACGTTCACGTGCACGATTCTTGTTACTCCTGAGACTCGATGCCTCGTCCAACCCGCGAGACTTGGCAACGACACATCGCTGAGTATCCACTCAGCGAGTATGAACATCTCTGGATCCGACGGTATGCGTGCAGCTTGATAGAGCGTAAAATCTCGGCTAATCGTGGTGCGTCGAGCTGGCGACACCACTCGCGTTCTCGAGAACGTGGTGCCGCACGCCCGCCACGACGTTCTCGTTCGCGCTATTGTGGTGATACAGTTCACCACGATGTTTTCGTCGTCGCTCTTCATCTCGTCGTCGTGGTGACGTTTCACCACGACGTTCTCGCATTCTCTCTTGGTCTCGTAGTCGTGGTGACGCTTCACCACGACGCAGTCGTCGTTCGTCTCGTTCTCGCTCACCGCGCGAATACTCAGGTCGTCAAACAAATTTGAACCAAGCGTATGCACGAACGACATCTGGAAAGTCTCGAAGAAGCGAAGAGCGCGGTTCCCATGCATCCTTCTCGGGTAGAATCCCGAGCCAACGTACACGATAATTGCGCGAGCATGGAGTCGCGACAGTTTCGTTTCGCGACGAGGGTCCTCGTGACCTAATAAACGTTTCACGATCCAGCGCTTCTGACCTTCCGCGTCCACAAGCGGTGGTGGGCCCTCGCGATGGTAATACCGGCGTCCTGGTTGCCCAGGACGATGTAGATGCGGCGGTGAACAAGGCTGTCTATGCCCAGCTGGAAGCTGAAGCAGCCCTTGATCGAGCTGCACGGGCTGAGAGAACAGCGAGAGAGATTCAACAGTCGAACCGCGAGCTGCTTGAACTTATGAGGAACCTGGAACGCCAGGCTCTAGGGCGCGCGCAGAATGGGACGCAGCCGCTTCAGATGTCGCTGGCGCGTCGAGCAAGGCAAGAGGGAAGGCCGACCTATGAGCCTTTGTCTCTGAGGACGGAGCCAGTCCATGAAGAGTAGCTGGACGATACTCCTTGAGCCGCCCGACGTAAAACGTCGGGTGAAGTCGCAGTGACGAAGGGATGTCCAGAGCGTATGCGTCGCCGATCACCTTGAGTATCGCGAATGGGCCTTTGAAACGTGTTGCGAGTTTGCTCGCGCTGAGATTGGTTACTGCTGAATCTCGTAGGCCTTCAGTAGATAACAATACAAGATCACCCTTTTTGAAAGTACTCATGTTCTTTCTTCCACGTTTATCTGCATTCGCTTTCTTTTTGTCCACTGCAGATCAAAGAGTATTGCGTACAAACCTCGTGATGGCTTGACGTTTGAGTATAAACTTTGACACATCCATGTCATCAATTGGTCGCGCCGATTTAACCGGCGCGTAGTTGGCTTGAGGTCTTCGCATACCCGAAGAAGGGTCAATCAGTCTCTGTGCAGCCCATCGAGCTAGCGGGAACGCCACGTCACGTCGTGTCAAAACAAAAGGCTTCACCTTGGATCAGGTGACAACATTCGCGCTTTAAATACCTTGAGCTGCACTCGATCGTTGTGTATCACCATCATCCCCGCCAGAGTGGAGCCACGAAGAGCCGTAGTTTGACCCACGGCAAGAAGAGTAGGTACACGAGGGTGACGGGCGGAATTTGTAAAAAAAATAGTGTCAGCCCCGTTGACGCGTGAACCGCGTTGTTGAGTGCAAACTCCGCGAGTGGTAAAAATGCACTCAAACTCCTAAAAGGAAGTTGCGTAACTTCGAAGAAAATCTTCGAGGACCCGATTAACCCGCTCTGTTTGCCCATCCGTTGGCGGATGGGCTGTTGTCGACATTTGCAGCTTCTTGCCAAGCAACTCAAAAAATGACGTCCAAAACGCAGATGTGAAACGAGGATCACGGTCCGAGACAATGTCGTCTGGTAGACCGTGATGGCGAAACACAGTGTCAATGAAGTGGACCGCGGTATCAGCCGCGGTGATCGTTGCATGAAAAGGCATCAGATGTGTCATTTTGCTAAATCTATCCACAAAGACCAGAATACCCGTTCGGTCTTTCCATTGGGTGCAAGCCCGAAAACAAGTCCATTGAAACTGGGTGCCAAGGCTCAGCTGTAATTGGCAGGGGTAGCAGGGGTGCCTGCGACGATGGAGATGGCTTCACTCGTTGACATATTTCGCAGAAGCGAACCCAGTTGCGAACCTACATGTACATGTGGGGCCAGAAGAAGTCACGTAAGACAGCCGCGAATGTCTTTTCGCGGCCCAGATGACCGCCAGTTGGGGCATCATGGTACTTGTAGAGGATACGAGCACGCAGATTTAAGTCATTCGCAATCACTGTTCAAGGTGCATCGAATTTACCGATGCTGTATAACAGCAAATCACCATCCATACTGTATTGTTGAATGTACCCACGCTTTGTTCGCGAAAGAGCTCCCAGTGCAGCATCACTGGGAGCGCGCAGATAGGTGATTAGGTCCGAGTAGTCTGGACTGTTCGCGTAAGCCGCGACAATATTATCGAAAAGGCATAAATTGGGTGTGACCCGAGTTAGATTCAGCGACACACACGTCACACATCGATCGTATTCATCGTCGTCGTAAGTTTTCTGACGATGCAGTGCCATACTAGGATCGTAATATGGACGTCGTGACAGTGCGTCAGCAAGAATGTTAGTCTTGCCTGGCTTGTAGTGCACGACGATGTTGCACTCGGAGAAGAAAGAGAGCTACCGTGCCATCCACTGTGACAGGTGTGGGGTCTTCATCGATGTACGCAGCGATGCAAGATCAGTACACAGGGCGAACGTGCGTTCGCCCAGTAGGTGGACACGAATCTTGATGAGTGCGTAGCGCATTGCTTATAGCTCCTTATCGTGGACTGGATAGTTCTTCTCCGCCGGCTTCATCTGTCGTGATTGGCAACTCACGACTCTTTTTGACGGCCTTTTAATCAAACTGCACGAGGGCGCAACCAATTGCAAATTGACTTGCATCACACACCACGTGAAACGGCTTGGTATCGTCAGGGATTACCAACACTGGCGCTGGCGCCAGGCTCTTCTTCACTGATTCAAAGGCCGCTTGAGGTTCGGGACGCCACGACCACGTGGCGTGTTTCTTCAGAGGTGACGATAGAGGCTGTATAGAACCGGCGTAATACTTTGTGTACTTATGCAAGTAATTAGCTAGACCAAGCCATTGACACAACTTTGTAGCATTCTAGGGTGTGGGCCAAGAAAATGTAGACGACTTCTTCTCTGGATCGGCTCTAACCCCTGATTTACTCAAGTAGAGACCCAGCACCGGAATCTCCGGTGAACAGAATACACACTTCTTCAAGTTTGCATGTAACTCGTCATCCCGCATGACTTGAATACCCTGCTTCAGGTGTTGAAGATGAACTTGTGCGGCGCTGAGGTTACCCTCAGCGCGACTGTGGACAAAAATGTCATCGTAGTAGCTAGGAGCAAAGTCTTGAAGCGGTCTCAACACTTGAGACACCAAGCGACTGAAAGTGGCTGGTGCGTTCTTCAATCCTTGTGGCATCACCAGCCACTCCCATAGCATACCACTTGGGGTGCTCACCGCAGTGAGTGGTATGTCACTCTGTCGCATCAAGATCTGGTAGCATCCATTGGTCAAATTAATGGCGCTGAAGATGATGCTTCCTGACATGGAGTTGAAAACCATTTTTTATCTGGGGATATGCGTTTGGGCGGGAATTGTGGCATCGTTTAGATTGTTAAACGCGTGCACTGTACGCCAGCCTCCCGTAGCCTTCTTTACGAAGAAGTTTGGACTCGAATGGGGTGAGACACTCTCAGGCACATGACCGGCCTTGCGACGACCTTCAAATAATGCATCAAAAGCCTTGACTTGGTCTTGAGGCAACGGCCACTGCCGTGTCCCACAATATTTTGACCCTGGCACGAGATCAATCTTGTTCCGAACACCACGATCAGCAGGAAGTTCAGCCGGAATCTTCTCCGGGAATGCGTCTGCGTACTCTTGAGCAAAGTCGTAGACAGGGTTACTGTAACGGGGCACCCTGAAGCTTGTACTGGTGACAGTACAGGCTACTTATTCTGATGACAGAATAAGGCGGTGCCTCGTAACTTCACGTACACTGGTACGTGCAGAGGAAGACGGTAAGAAGAAGCGAGTACTTGGTTAGAGTAAAAAGTAGAACTGTATTTAGTATAGTTAATGTCTGCAATAAATCACTATTTATCTTCATCTAACTATGTCTAAATACAAATGTGCATATCAACTATCTGCTCACCACTCATTGCGTGCGTCTGTCGTGGCGCGTCTTCGTTGGTTGATGTAATGGCCTATATCAACCAATTAGGAACTACTTGTAAGTGCAACAGAATATTTGTCCTTATGACAATATTCTGAGAATATAACTCATACAGTTATATTCTATTAACAATTTCTTATAAATTGTTATGTAACGATTCACCCCGTTACATCACCCCCCCTTAACCATCAGTCACTTTAGTGACTGATTGAATGAATGGATACTCGTCCCAAATCATTTGGGACAGGGTTTGCACTTGTTGGTCCGAGTCCACTTTTCAACAATTCATCGCATGGTTAACAAGTCCATGCGATGCGCGAGCAAGGCCGCCGAGAGCGCGTCCGCACAGAGACGTGCGGACGCCGAAGCAGAAACCACAGCAACTGATGTCTCATCGGTTGCTGAAGCGACTCAGCCTGTATCTCTTGGTGATGCAGGCGCTCGTCATGAAGACACTCATGTCTTCACAGAGTATGAGCTCGGTGTCTCATACTCTCCCGATACGGAAGACGGATCCGTATCGACGGCGATCGAATCAAAGCCGCCTGCCAAGCGTGGCATGGATGATGCTATGCGTCGTAGCATCTTTGGTTCATCTGATGAATCAGATGAACCGTCGCCGAAGCGAAGGCGCTCGAGGTCGCAAGACTCGGGCGCTAACAGTGGTGTCGGTTCTCCTATGGACACCACTTCACAGCGAGGTGCCAGTACTTCTGTCGGCACGTCGCAGGAAGAGCGGGACCGCAATGTGTTGCGTCTCGCTCCTGAGAAGAAGGCATGGATGCCTCCAAAATCAGTCATGGATCACTTGTCGGCGACGACGAGTGATCGTTATCGAACACGGTTGTTCGATTCGTCAAGGATCCATCACCTTGACCCCAGCGCGAAAAACTATCGCGCTGAGAATGATTTCTTCATCGATGCTTTCTTTAGACATCGATGGTACAGTGGGAATCACAAACGTGATGGTCCCTCACTACTTCAGGCGTGGAACGCCTACATCCATAACCTTGAGGATGTAGGTCGTGACGTTTGGAACGACAAACTTATCAAAGCTCGTGATAAGTTTGAAAAGCGAACCCCGACAGGTGCACGCTACAAGCTGCATCGTCTGTCAAGGGAGAAAGGATTACCCTGCCTCTCTTGGGGAGACTCGTGCCCATGTTGTGTGAACAACTCTGCACGAGCACCTAAGGAGGCTTACCTCCTTACCAGCCCGTGGTGGCGCGTACGTGTCTCTACTGAGATGTACGAAGGGATTGACAACCTGAAATCCCTTTACGACCGTGCCGGGAAGACTTTCTCCGGCGGTCCTTCTGCGGCACAGGATGTGCCGCGTCGTACTGCTCAACCAGACCCAGTACGTCGATCATCAGTTGGGAGCGGGGCTCCCAAGAATCCCAGGACGGGGGATAGCCGCGCCACCGGACGAGATAACTCGTCCGACGTCCGTTCACGTCGCGGTGGTTCAACAGCTGCTCAACTAAATAGCGCTGGCCACCACGAGAGTCCTCTAATGGAGGTGGAGGAGGAGGAAAGACGCTCTCCACACGATCATGTGGATCGGTGTGTTCCTGAAAGCTTCTTTGATTGCGTAACGCAAGGGTTACGCGACGATCTCGAACATGAGCGGAATAGGCGTCTCCAAATGGCGGACACTGCCTCGAAGCATCGAGCTGAGTTTGCCTTTGCTCAGCTCGAGAACGAGAGATCCTCTGACATCTCTTCGTGACGAGCTAGGGTAGCTCGTGGGATTGTTGATCGGTCTCGGGCTGAGATAACTGCTCTTCAGACCCTTGTTGATGCCCACCATCGGGAGCACAAGGCTCTCTGCGAGATGCTTGAGCGCAAGGGCGTTCTTCATCGGAAGAAGCAGCGTAATGATGGTACGGCTTAAGCCAACCAACGTAAAACGTGGGATGCGTTCGCATCTTACGTGGCAACTCGATCGTGTATGCATTGCCTAGGCGGTGCAATACACGAAATGGGCCAATGTACTTGGGTAGTAGTTTACTGCTACCCAAGTTAGTCACTACATGCTTTGGTAGATTAACCGTAGACAGTAGGACTAAGTCACCTTTATTAAATAAAAGAGTGTTTGCCCTTCCATTCTTGTCGGCGTTTTGCTTTTGCTTATCCACCGCTTCGGCGATGGAGTCTTGCACAAAACGAACTACCGTTTCACGAGCCAGTATGAACTCATCTGATGACTCGTTAGCTTCAGTGTGCTGTAAGCGCACTGCAGCAACATCAAACTTTTCTTCAGTGAGGGCTTCCGCACTCCCACTGGGATCATCTTCTTCAGTGAGGGCTTCCGCACTCTCACTGGCATCATCTTCTTCGATATCGATGTTATCGATATCGGCATCAAACGCAATGACTTCCTCGTCAGAGCGTGATGAGCGTGAACCAAATCGGTTTTTGCTCGCGCGAGTCCCTCCCCCCCTTAAACCAGAGTTACACTCTAGTAAGGTGGGTATACGCGGATGGCGCAAGCCATTCACGTAAAACGGTGTATGTGTCGTGGACGCATGCACCGAGTTGTTAATGGCAAACTCTACCATTGGCAAAAACTCACTTCAACTCTTAAAGGAGTGTACGTATCCTCGAAGCATCTCTTCAAGGACACGATTGGCACGTTCCGTCTGACCATCTGACTCTGGATGATCAGATGTCGACATCTTCAAGCGCGTTCCGAGTGATTTGAACACGGAACGCCAGAAATCAGCAGTAAATCGTGGATCTCTGTCTGATACGAGTTCACGGGGCAACCCATGAAGTCGGAAGATGGTGTCGACACAGACACAAGCACAGCCACTTGCCGTGATTATCTCTGGTACAGCCACAAGGTGTACCATTTTGCTGAATCTGTCAACAAATACGAGAATACCCGTATTCCCGCGTGCGTCTTTGGGTAACCCGAAGACGAAATCCATTGAGATGGATTCCCAGCACTCAGCCGGAACCGGTAGAGGCTGTAAAGGTGCACGCAGTGAAGGACTTGACTTCACTCGTTGACAGACTTCGCATGCGCGAACATACTTTCGCACAAACTGATACTGGCGGGGCCAGTAAAAGTCTCGACTTACCGTGAGATATGTTTTCTCTCGGCCACGATGTCCTCCTATAGGAGCATCATGATACTCGAACATGATCCGCAAACGCAGATCATTATCATCTGGAATGACAACACGTGGTGTGTCACCAGAAATGGCTGTATAATACAGTAAACCGTTACGAGTAGTGTATCGATCTGATGCAGATCGATACGCAGACGACAATCGTTTCAACGATTCTCGAGATGGTTGGGAAAGATGTGTCAACAACTTCACAATCTCACCATCTTGGGCGTATGCCCGCCTCACATCATCATACAACGTTGTAGATGGGACTGAGGACGCCGTAACCGCAACAGTGACTGTCTCACTGTTGGGTTTCACGACTGGTTCAAAGTCGGGACGACGTGAGAGTGCATCAGCGACGACACTAAGTCGTACTGGTTTGTACTCGACCGTAAAGTTGTATTCTGCAAAGAATGACAACCACCGCGCCATTCGTTGTGAAAGGTGCGGGCTGTTCACTGCCGTGCGTAATGACGCATGGTCAGTGTAAACAATGAAGGGTCTATCTCCTAATAGATAGACTCTGAACTTCGCGAGTGCATACTTCATGGCAAGGAGTTCCTTGTCATGCACTGGATAGTTCCGCTCAGCTGGTTGCAGCTGACGCGACTGATAGCAGACGACGCGTTCAACGCCTTCAAGATCGTACTGCATTAATGCACAGCCGATTGCGAAATCGCTGGCATCACAGACCACATGAAATGGCCTGTCTTGATCGGCTATTGCTAGGACTGGGAATTGTATCAAGCTCTGCTTGATACCATCAAAGGAGCGTTGACATTTAGCGATCCATAACCGTCTCTCGTTCTTTTTTAACAAACGAGAGAGGTGCAATGTCATCTCGGCGTAATTGCGTGAATACTTATGCAAATACGCCGCTAGCCCAAGGGATTTTCGAAGACCTTTGACATCAACTGGCACAGGCCAGTCGGTGATCGCCTTGATCTTTTCGGGACCAGGACATACACCGTTCTTACCAACGATGCATCCAAAAAGTGGCATTTCGCTTGCTGCAAATGTACACTTCTTGAGATTGGCATACAATTGATGCTTTCGCATGATTGTAAGAACCTGTCGGACGTGGGATCTGTGAACCTCAACATCCGACTTTCCATTCATAGCCCGACTATGGATGAATGCGTCATCGAAATAACTCGGCGCGAATTCTCGTAATGGTCTCAACAGATGTGATACACATCTGTTGGACGTGGTAGGGGCATTTCTAAGCCCTTGTGGCATTACTAACCATTCCCAGAGCATGCCGCTAGGCGTGCTAACTGCGGTATAGAGTATATCCCGTTCTCGCATAAGGATTTGATAGAAGCCATCCATCAAATCCATGGACGAAAAGATGGTACTCTTTGACATACCATCTATGATTACGTCCTTCGTTGGTATCGGCGTCTGAGCCGGTACCGTTGCAGCGTTCAATTTGTTGAATACATGCACAATCCGCCACCCTCCTGTTGCTTTTCGCACACAGAAGGTCGGAGAGCTATGTGGGGAATTTGATTCCCTCACATGGCCCGCAGCTAAGCGATCGGCAAAGAGCTTGTCGTTCGCAAGTACTTGTTCACGAGGTAGTGGCCACTGCTTCATGACACAGTACTTCAAGCCTGGTTTAAGCTCGACCTTGTGTCGGATAACTTTATCCTTCGGTAATTCGCACGGAACAGTTTCAGGGAAAACATCCCTGAATTCAACCAAATCTTCATAGAGAGAATTTGTCTTGAGCGATTCCCACGATTGGGAGTCATATCGCTCAACTCGTGTCTTTCCATCGAGGACACTCTCGTCCATCGATGAACTACTGAGAATTCTCTCGTTCTCAGTAAACGTTGTTGCTGACCTTATGTCGGCTACACACTCGTCGTCAGCGACGAGTACGCAGATCGGCTTGACTTTGCCACTACACAGATCACGCAAGAACCTTTTGTGTTCGAGCAACTGAGTGATCTCCGAAGTCAACTTCGGAGGCGCAACCAGATCAAGTGTATGAGCGCCTACACTCGATCCGTCATTGACAATGACATTCAATGTCTCTGTCATTTCTTGGGGACTTATTCCCTCAGGCCTCGAAGGACTTATTCCTTCGGCTTCCCGGAGACTTATTCCCTCGGGTTTCGGGGAACTTATTTCCGCCGTATTTGTAATCTTGGGACTTATTAACTTAACTTCCTCTAGCTGGGGTTGCGCAATCTCAGCGAGATCCTCTACGAAAGACTCTCCAGTCGATCTAGGATTATCGTTTCGCTTAACCTGAGCGATCGATTGTTTCTCTTCTAGATGTTCCCCGCTAGGGATACATCTTTGTCCCAGTCCACCCGACTTATTCGAGTGGTGGACCTTCGGCGCAGCCTGTGTTTCCTCACAGCCGCCGGAACTTTGCTCCGAAGTGTAACCGTTTGGTACACTAAGGTTTTGTGCAGTCGTACTAACGACCGTACCACAAGTGAGGCCATCGCACTCACTCGTAGTACATCCACACGCTTGTGGACGCTCCAAAACGTTCATCAGATGGCCATCTGATGAACAAGCGGCAGGCATCGTTCCTGTCCGATGTTGCCAGTTTACCCGTGGTTCGTACCTTCTGAGCCACGGTATTCCAAGGATGACATCAAATTTGTCATCCAAATCCAATACGATGAAGTCATCGTCATATTGGGTATCTTCTAGCGTATAGTGGATCTTCACTATACGCTTCATGACGGTTACGGATGCGCCTGTCGCAAGACGTACCGTCATCCTCGTAGGAGGTGTGTCACATTCACTGAATTTAAAGTGACCATCTTCTAGCGATTGGCGTCGCACAAAATTGTTGGACGCCCCACAATCGACTAGAGCTCGAAAGGACAACTTATTCGTCACTTCGAGTTTTAAGGTAATGAGTGAGACCTCATTACCTAGAGCAGCAACGCACAACGTTTGTGTGTTGGGAGCAACCTTCATCAAGAGGCCTACAAATTCTCTTGACGTTGCTAGACCAGTAGGGTGCTCCGCACCTACTGATCCTGTCCGTTTTTTTGACGGTCCATCCCGTTGTTGCGTCTTTGCACCAACTGCGGACCCTCGTCCCTGCCCATTTCTCACGGGTGGACGGTCACTACGCCCAGTATCGCGAGACACTGGACGAGGGGCACTACACTCGTAAGCGTAGTGTGCTGTCTTTTGACATCTGTTGCATATCTGCAACTTCTTGTAGCCTGTAGAGCGAGCCTTCTCGCTCTCTACATAACAGAGTTCCATCGGCTCTGGACCTCCGTTGTCATATCGTCTCGGTTGATGATATGATGTCGAGCTGGCGCGAGCCTGTCTCAGACTGAAGTCTTCCTGCTCCGCAATGGAAATGGCTTGTTCTAGTGAATCTAGTTCAAGCCGGAACAGGTGAGTCTTGACGGGACCATCCGCAAGACCCTGCATGAACACCGAAACCAACGTGTGTTCATCCACCGGATTGGAACTTATACAACTCGTAAGATGTCGTATATGTTGAGCGTAAGCGTGCACATCACGCTTACCCTGTTTGAGCTTCAAGAGTTCGGTTCGAGCCCTGAACTCAGCTCTAGGCGGTTCAAACGTTTGTCTGAGCCGCGACTTGAAGACTTCTAACGACCCAAACGCATATGGGTCGTGCAACTTGAGCCCCAGTGCCCAAGTCTTGGCACGTCCTGCCAGATTTGACTGGGCAAATGCAACTTGCATATCCCCGTCGTCGATGCGACGCGCCCTTATGGCGTCATCCAATTCGACGAACCATCTCAAGAGGGAGTCTTCTTCGACCCCCCTATACTTGGGGATGTCAATCTTCAAAGTCTCGGGTCGACGCGAGTGCATCGACCCGCCAACAGCAGCCTGCTGCTGTCTCAACAGTTCAAACTGTTGAGCACCCTGTTCTCTTAACAACTCTGCTTGTTGAGAACCTTGTTGGTGAAGCAAGGCTACTTTCTCGCGTTCAGCGTCAAGTTCATTTTGAATGCGCTTGGCGATAGTAGCATGTTGGGCATCTCTATTGAGAGCCTCTAGCATGACGCTAACAGCATGGATGCCCATGGTTGAACCCATTCGTTCAACCGCATCCCATTCGACATCGCTTAAATAGGAGTAGCCGTCACGCGTAGCGTGAAAGCTTTGGTCATCTTCATCATCCAACATGTTCATGTTAAATGTGAGCGTGGTCCTTGGACGGACTACGAAGTGCTACCAGGTGTAACGGGGCACCCTGAAGCTTGTACTGGTAACAGTACAAGCTACCTAGTCTGATGACAGAATGAGGCGGTGCCTCGTAACTTCACGTACACTCGTACGTACAGAGGAAGACGGTAAGAAGAAGCGAGTACTTGGTTAAAGTAAAAAGTAGAACTGTATTCAGTATAGTTAATGTCTGCAAGAAACCACTGTTTATCCTCATCTAACTATGTATAAATGCAAATGTGTATATCAACTATCTGCTCACCACTCATTGCGTGCGTCTGTCGTGGCGCGTCTTCGTTGGTTGATATAATGGCCTATATCAACCAATTAGGAACTACTCGTAAGTGCTACAGAATATTTGTCCTTATGACAATATTCTGAGAATATAACTCTTATAGTTATATTCTATTAACAATTTCTTATAAATTGTTATGTAACGATTCACTTCGTTACAGTTACTGTACTCGCGAAGATCCTCCCAAGATTGCGACGCAAACCTTCTTCGCGCACCGACTTTTGTTCAGCGCTTCAAAGGCGCGTCATTCGCTCCTCATTCTGCTCATAGTTCACCTCGTTAATTGACCAGGCATACCTGTTCCACCGTGCCTCTCTTGAGGTCGCGTAGAAAATGCTTCTAGGATACTCCCGGAAAACTCGTAACCGACGACGCGTCGCGAGGTGGACTCGCGACCACAATGTATTGGCGCTTTTTTGGACTCCCGTCCATGTACACAATAGCGTGGACACATTCCAACGCTAAGGACCCGTAGCTTGCGCCTCCATCGTGCATCGAGTGCATGCTCACAGCTGGCGAACCGTAGTCAGGTGTTAAATTTGAACTTCTCTCTAGACGCTGGATGTCCGCATCCAGAACGTCGAAATCGCGCGACGAGAGTACCCCATACTCGTATGTCGACGCATGATGCAAGAGCCCCTGGTCGACCGCCACAAACTCGTGTGGGAGCCCCTGCTCGACCACGTCTTGCTCATTTAAGAACCTCCGTTCGGCCACAGTGGGTGATGATGGTAATCCTATTCGACCATCATGTTTGCACGTGAAGACTCCTGTCCATCCACGTCACACTCGGTGGCGAGCCCCTGCTCGGACACATCTTGCCCTTGTGGGAGCCTCTGTTCGCCCACAATGGGTGCAGGTGGGAACACCTGTTCGATTACTGCTCTCTCGTGCGGAAACCTCTGTTCGACCACGTTGTCTTCGTGCGGGAGCCACTGCTTGTCCGCGTCGTCATTACGCGGGATTCATTGCTCGTCCACATCTTAACTCTTGCTGCAAAGCGAGGAGACATTGCCACTCGTGCTTAGGAGCTGGAACAAGCGGTACAGAGAGGGTCATCGTATACTCTATGCACCGCCGGGGTTGTGTATGTACGAACCACGACTGTAACGTTCAGCCAATCATTTGGGGACACCAAGAGATGGGTAAACACTTTGCTGACGGCGGACATACTTCAACGTTTCACTTATCTGGCTAGCCAGTCGATCTGGGGCTTATAGCGTGCCAATTATGGCATGCCCAGTATGCAATCGAATGCATAATTCATCTCAATCACCACGAAATTGTCGTTACTGCGAAAGCCAACAAACGTGTATGGCAACGGTACTTCGCGCCGCGATACGTGGCGTGGTTTCCCGTCAGCGAGCTTGAGAGCAACTTGGCCAGGTCCTTCGTGGACCTGGATGCTGGGTGGCAGCATTGACACGCAAGATCACGGAAGAAATTTTTGTCGCTCATATACCCAGGAGCGCTCGTAGAGGTCACCGGATACCGACGACTTGCAGATTAACAACAATCAGGCGTGAGTAACCAATAGTAGTGGTGGCATTTCACCGTGCACACAGCACAGATGGTCTTGGAAGTCGGGCTGACATCGGTTATCGGACCTCCCTTCAAACCATTAGGGCGCCCTGCATTTACCGGTCTCGTCCGGTTTTTGGACGAGTGAACAGAGCACCCCTTTCATGATGGGTGTCCGTCGCATGCACTGACATCGGTGCTGGCGCGCGGCATTCCTCTTCGCGACGTCCCGACTTTCGACATCGAAAGCAGATCATCTGACTTCCGCTACGGACGTCACCCGCGTAGGATGTAACACGTCTTCGGTCACCCGACGACTCAATCGCATCAATCTCCATAGGTTCCGGGCCCGCTGATCTGACAGCGGTAACAACTGAAGGCTTGGCATAGGCCTTGGTGACTCTAAAGTCTTCACGGAGGGCGATAGCGAAAGCCTCCTCCAACGAGGCTATCTCGGCGCGTTCCAGCATCAGGCAAGCCGCCCTTCACGCTTGCCATCGACATACACGTTCACTTGTGTGTAAATGTCCATGGTATGCGTTACAATGCACGAGGCCAGATGTCGAGCCATCTGCACGTAGACGCGCATGGACATCTTGCACTGTCTTAAGGACAGAGACCTCGATTGTATCAACTTCTCTTCTTGTGGCGGCTCGAAGGCGAGTCGATGGTCACTCTGGATGACTTCAAGAGTGGGGAACGCATACTCGTCCACTACGAGTTTACCCAAAGCCCACTCCTTGGCTTTCCCACTGAGACGGGATATGGAGGAAGTTGACCTTCGCTTGAGGAGCCTCGAGAATTCCCGAGGCGACAGCGATGTCAACCTCTCGGAACCAGCGCGACAGCGACAAGCGTTCTTTGCCTTCGCCAGAGTAGACGGAGGTCCCCTTCTTCACGGCATCGTTCCGTGAAGTTCGCGAGGGAGTTAAACCTCGCCGATTTGATTCAGCAAGCTCGCGGGCCATGAAGTCGCGTATGGCGAGACACTGTCCATCAGGATTCGATGATTTCATCTGCCACACAACGAATGCCTCTCCAGATATCGCCGCGAGGCGATTTAAGGCATCCCACTCAACACCAGTGATATGGGAAAGGTCGCGTGCTCCAGACTCACGTCTGGAGCATCAAAGTACGACAATTCGCTCATCCCAAACTCGGGCATGGATAGGACTATTCAGTGCCACTAGGTGTAACAGGGCTAGAACAACCCGTACTTAGCTTACACTATTTCTAACGCTTTGAGGAAGCCTGAAATCCCAAGTCTTAGGTGTTTAGAATTCTTAACTCTGTTTTTATTCTGGTTTTTATTCATCCTGAGTACGATTGGTTCCCTTGGACTCATGGGAACCACTCAATCTAAGTGCCTATACCTTACTGGCTAATAAAGGGACTGAGCCCATAAAACCAGCTAAAGTATATAGGACGTGCTACTTTCCCTACCTCGAAAGTAGCACCCCTACTTAAGTAACATGTAAGCTTAATCGAAACTACTTATGTAACGGGGTGGCCCATTACACAAAGTGACCAACGATACTAGTTAAACGGTACCGATTTGGATCGTTCTCAACCACTCGTCGGTCGTCCCTGGTCGCCCAAGGTGGACCTAGGTCACCCGTAGACCAACCTAACCAATTATCGGCTGACCTGGTCACCCATAGGTCTACTTGGCTTCGCAAGGTCTGGTAGACACTAGCCGCTTATCATTGCGAATCCAGGTGCAGAGCAATGACAGAGTAAAGGAGTTCAAAGGATAGGTTAACATTAGGTACAACTTAATTTGAGAATGAAGCAGCACGACGTGTCAGGCGCTAAGAAACTTGTAAGTCTATCGACCTGTTCCGGACCAGGGATCTGTTTGGCCCACCCGTCGAATATACAGTTGTCAGTAAGACACAAGTGTAAGTAGAACCCCAGGAATTAAATGGGACTGTGGGTTCGTAGAGTAGCACACACACACCTCCAACTCAAGCCCGCTACAGGAAGCGGTCTCCGTACCCTAGTGGTAAGGGATAGAAAAACGTATAGGCCAGGAGATTAACACCCATAAGACAAGTAAAGGAAAGTCGCTACCAGCACCTGAGACAACTGGTTATAAGACCACTCTCGACCAAGTCGATCGAGTGGCCGCCTAAATTGGACCCAAAATGAAGCATATCCGCTCGGGGTCCCCCCCCAGGTTGACCTCCATCATGGACGACGTCTACATCATCACCAAGTCATCCGAAGAGTGAAAACCGCCAAGTCGACGGATACTTAAAGTGAGTCAAGGTCCACAAGCGGCATCAGGGTTACCCCTTCGACATTCGGCATCCGGCACAGTGAGTGGTTTGGGGTCTCGTCAAACAGTTTTGACAACCCACTCCACCACAGTGCCGCTGTAATGTGGTCAGAATTTCTGACCTGCACCGTGCGCTTTCTGCCTGATCGAGTATGCGTTGTTGCCCCTCGTCAATTGGGCTACTGATAATGGATGGGTCCATGTTAAGCATCACACCCAGCGCTGTTATAGCAGTAGCGGCACCACGTTCAGGGAATGATTCGGTGTCGGACGTGAAGTGCGTTCACACACAGATGTGCTGGGTTCGGATTGCTCCTTCCAGTAGGTAACGGTACTACTAGCATTGCTATCGTCCACTTCCTCGACACCAAGGAATCCTGCTAGAGCCTTATCTTCCGTTAGGTTTCTAGGTCGGTCCATGATGACGAGTTACGAAGTAATAATCTCAATGAGGAGACAAGTCGAGTGAAGTTTTGTGGTAACGTCATTCTGGTAGGGAGACGGTGTGACGGGGTCAGACTAGTTATCGGCTAAATTGATTAAACATCTCCCATATGTGATATGGATGACAAGCGTGACCTTAGATTTTAAATAAATCGAGAATACCGATCAGTCGGTATTCCCTGAGTTACGGTACTTACCGTGGAAGTACTTTGTACCGTCATCATTTGATGAGTGAGTGATGTGCCAACCATCCATTTAGATTGAATACCAATGTTTGTACTGGTTCTAGTTAGTCTAGTATAGGGTGCTTAAAGTATTTTTTACTTGAAATTAAATCTAAACAATAGTAGTTCTCATTTTGAGCAGAAGCCCGCAGACCCCCCCCTTAGCACATTGCGCTTGATAGTTCCTTAGAGCTGTCGTGGGTTAGAGAGTCCTTAGACTACTGTATTCTTCTGTATTCCTCTTTGCACATTGTGCGTGTGGTTCCTTAGAACTTCAGCAGTCTGAGCTAATAGCTCACAGAGTCCGCGCTAGTTCCGTAGAACTAGCCAACTCTTTAACTTACTATATTAGTTCCTTAAAACTAATCGGCTACTAGCCCTCATAATTAATTGGCTGTTAGCCGAAAGCCTCTGGATTAACCCGTAAAGTCGACTTCTAACTTGAAAGCTGTGATAGCTTCGCTACATATGTAAACTTTCTTCTACGTTCTTGTGAGCGCATGTAGAAGGACAAAAGGGGTCGAACAGACAGCAGCAGGCGTCAAAGACGTGATCAATTCCATCATCCTCTCAGGTGTCGCATATTTTTTACAAAGAGAGGTAAATCATCACTCATCTAAACGTGAGCATCATTCATTCTACAATTTTATTTTATGTGTAGGCACTCAGAATAGCAAATAAAAGAACTGAATAGATTACAATCCGCATAATTTCAATTGACGCCATACTCGCTGGCGTCGACGCTCAGGTCATCGCTACAATATGTAGGCGCGCTCCACTCCAAGCATTATGTTATAGTCTACCACCTCTTTAGGACTCGCGTCCGTGCTCGAACAGAAGCTCACTGATCTGGCGACGATGTTGGACTCACTTAACCCGATGCCAGTAAACTATACACTTTGAATTTACGACCAAGTTTCGCAATCATTCCGATTTTCAAAACAACAAAGCGGCGTAATTTTGCATATTTTCTGTAGTTAATGAGCAATGAAGCGTTTGTAAATGCCACTCAAATGGACACAATCGTTTTTGAGTACCTGAAAAAAACCTTCGCAGTACCAAGAAGCTACTCACTATCGGTAAACATTCAATCTGTGTAGATCTGCGCGGTGTCGACGTCTTTGTCAATTTCTAATTCTTCTGTTGTAGTTAAGTTATTTCAGTTTGTTCTTTTATTGTTCGTGTGTTCTTTTATGTCTATCTTATGGTTTTGTTGATTTATTTGAAGCTGTTGTTATTGCTGTTCTCTTGCTATTATTTTGTTGTTATTTTGTTTGTTGACATGTAGCTAATGTGGTGAAGTGTTATTAAAAGTAATTAAATTAGGTCCAATGAATCGAAGGTACCGGAGATAAGAGGGCCACGGAGAAGACACAAACTTGGTACGAGCGGGGTTTGGAGACGAATGGTGGTGAGATCAAAAACAGTGCACAAGTTAAACGGTACCGAAGCATGCCGAGCACGGTCTCTATAAAAAAGACCGGTCCATAGGGTTAGGCCCCGGTCCCCCAGGGTCGACCGCGGCTTTTCATCGGTAGACCCGGCCCCTCATCGGTGGACTCGGTACTGTGGTAAAGGGATTTGGAAAAGACTGTAGCAGGAGGCTATCTCGTGAAGGGAGAAGCGGTCATCTTAAGGTAAAGAGTGCCTGCGAGAAGAGGTCACGACAATAATTGGATACTCAGAGAATACGTAATCGCGGAACCTACTAAGAAGAAGGCCTTTTACCTGGTACTGGTTTAGGGGTAGCGAAAGAAGATGACTACGCACCCGCTGTGGCGGTTCTGATTCCAGTGGATATGCCTCAGCTTTTCTTCGGGATACCTTGGTCACTCTTCGGTCGATCTTAATCCCTCTTCGGTACTTGGTCTCTCACCAGTAGACCATGGTCCCCAGCGGTTTACCTCGGCCCCTCAAGGGTAGACGTCGGTACCTCATTAATCGAACAAGATCATTAAATTGAGGCTTCTCCTGGCCAGTCACATAATAGCCAGATTATAAGGCAAAAATAGCGGAAAGAAGTTAAGAAATAGGACGATATTGCATAACAACTTGATTTGCGATCCACGTGGCACGATCGTTTTGTGGTCAGCGGAAATTGCTTTTGTGCCATTCGCCTGTTTTGTGGAAGAGGCACCCTTCACCCCCATCGCCTAAGATAATAGCGGGGCAAGACCCAAGTACAGAACGAACCCCAGGAAGTAATAGTCCCGTGGGTTCGTCACGATTTTTACCTGCTTTAAAGGAGCTTAGTTAGTGAACACGCATGTTACCGATGAACCTTCCTCTCCGACCAAGTCTACCGAAGGGTGCAACGCACTAGCCGACGGGTACACAAGATGAGCCAAGGTCCATACAAGGACTCGGGGTATCTCCGTAAACGACAGTCCGGCTCAGCGAGTGTTTTGGGGGATCAACACGCAGTTTTAAGCCTACACCACCACACTGGTCTAAAAAGAGGAGAAAGGAATACGTAGAGGGACGATCAGGTACCATCAACGATTTTATAGTGGATGAAAATGGGATTACGATATGCAAAAGAAAAAGCAACCTCTGGTGACTTCGGAAGAGTCGACGTAAATAGTAGACATAGCTAAAAGCTGGGTATCGTTTTGGGAGGTCGTAGATAGACGCTTTGGTTTTCAATACTGCTATTTTGCTGTTAAAAATTCGAGCAAATAATGGCGTCGTTAACGTTGTTACATTAACGGGTGTAAAAGGAAGACACGCTAGTGAGATACATACATAAATATTCCAGTGAAAGTAATAGGCGTATTAATGCATCACATTTGCGAAGCTGCAATACTTTACCTTGTCGATTACGGGTGGATGGCATCTATCGATATTGGTATTCAAAGGTAGTTGTAATTCTGATGTAATTATACTTGCAAAACCTAAATTAGGACTCCTACATTTGAAAGCATAGTTTCAAGGCTACATACTTAAGTAAGTTTATCATCGCTAAAAATCAGCAAATACATTATGGTTCTTGTTTGATAATTTTCTGACTTGTGTCCTT